TGTTAAGTCCGATACAATGGCCTATTGCCTAAAGATTATGGTGAGAATTATTCGGCAACAATTGATTCGACAAAACGTCGGCAACAATTGACCTTTGTATCGTTGCGTAACTTTCACTCGCGGATTATTACTAAAAATAATTAAATTGCGATAACGTAATCATATAATTTAACTTAATCTTAGTTTTATTCCTATCTGCAAAGATGGATGGAATAGAGAATTAATCCTGTGAATCGTTAGATTACAGCCTAATAGCTTATAACATGGAGATTACTTACGGTCTCTCTTAGATGTCAATTAGCGCTTAATTACTGAGTGAATGAGAAGAATGTCAATTAGCGAGTCTTTAAAACGACGCTTTGCAAATTGCCATATTAATTTCTGTAAGTGAAATACATAATATGTATATAACGACTTTGAAGTATTAAATAAGACAACCTTGTTAGAGGTCCCGCTATCTAGTAGCACATAGAAAAGTGAATGTTATTTGTGCTAATTGAAGTAAACTACTACAAACGAAAACCGTGGTAGTAGATTTTTAAGTATCTTATATTTGCGTGAACAAAATACATTACTTAAAGAAACTGGTTTTAGGGATACATAAAGTTAAAATTTAACTCCTGACGTCTAAAGATGAAAACGAAACTACGGGAAAATGAAGAGAATTAATTAAATAAACCTTGTTATTTCCATAATTTATAGAAGACACTTACTTAATGTTTGTCTAATAAAGTGAGTCGTCTCGTCTCCGTTTATGATATGTGAGCATATATATACACAAGAGAAAGTAACACAACTATCGGTTGTGGTCGGTGGTTAAATCGTGTAATACCAATGTTATTATTAGTTATTTTCATTAACTCCATAAATCCCGCTTACAATATCTTCAAATAGAAAAGCAACCAGAAATAATTCAGCTTAAAAAAAAATAAAAAAAATCTAAAACTAATACGACAAAAATCCACGATTATGGTTTCATTTCAATCATAAAGCGCTGTGGATATTGTTATATGAAATTCCTGTACAGTTGCGAAACGTTTCAGTTAAACACGTTAACGAAATATGGGCGCGGCTTCGGCTGTCAGGTCGCGACAGGTGAGCCAGTGGCCTCCAAACGAGCCCGCCGGCAAAACAAACAGCTCGTTTCGTCACAACACATTCCGCTAGCCAGTCAACAAACTTGTCCAAGTCGATTTGAGTAATCCGCCAGGGTTTAGAGACGTTGCGCTCTGCTAACCAATGTCCAAATGTGCACATGTTAATTGCATATAATCAATTTACAAATGAACCACATCTCCGGAATTATAAGCGCGTATTTTATGTTTACACAACACTAGCCGTTCCTTTCGATTTCATACGCGAGAAACGTTTCTGCTACGCCCCCGTAGGTCGAAGCGTGGACCCTATACACTTCCTCAAGGATTCGGCTATCAAATGCAAAAAGATTTTTTTCAAATCCGACTAGTACCTCCAGAGATTAACGCGTTTAAACAAACAAAAAACACTATTCAGCTATAATATATTTAAAAAAAGCTCGTCCGGAACTCCGCTTTTGATTCAATGCACTCGAGCAACCTGAGTTCGATTCCCGAGTCGGCACCAAAGACATTGTTCTATACAAAGATATGACACTAGCGCACCGCAATTGAGGAACTCAAATTACACAAATTGGAGTAATTACACCTATATTACAAATTCTATAGCTTGCTATCTCTTACCATATCATACGTTCTCTGTCAACTGTCATATTCACTTATATATATCACAATATAATGTAAAGCGGAACAATTTTTAAACGCCACGCAGTATGTTATTGTTGCGTCATCTATGTTATTAAAAATCATTGCGTTGTTGTTTTGTTACTTTTACCTTTCTTGTTAGAATAAAATGCTCACTCCAATATTGCTTTTATCTGAATAAGTTATAGCATGTATCATTATTTACAAGTTATAACTATAATGCTTTGCATTATCCATAAATAAATTTACACATTTACACAAAATTAATATATCTGACAACATGCAAAATAAAACTACTATTTTACTATTTTTTTTTTCTCTACTATTTTAGTATTCTATATCAATATTTAGAGACAAATCGTTTGTTATGCAACAAAATACATTTTTGTTTAGTAAACAGTGTTGAAAATCAACATTCCATTATAATATTAAAATAATTTAAATGAAAACATTTCTTCTGATTGTATCCTATAAAAACATTACTTTATAATTATTGCATTTACTTTAGCATTTTGTTTAATTAAACGTGGAACCAAAAATATTTATGTAGGTGTCATAGATGACCTAAACATAATTTCGTTCGGAAACTGAAGGTCGGGCTCAGATATTTCATAGAAATATGATAACTTTCTCCGTCGAAGACAAACATGAAATATTAGTAAATGGAGAAAGCAGCGGTGGAATTGAAAATCAAAATCGACGTGATTTGGGTGATATTTGCCTGTATTATTTTTATTAGTGCACTCCAATGAAAAACTGTCTAAATGTAATATAATGTAAAAATCTTTCTTATTCATTCAGTCAAATAATACAAATATTGAGTGTCAGTTTGCTGTTACATCTCTCTCTGTATTCTGAAATCTCTACCCGACTTCAAAAAATATAGATATAAAGAAAAAATATTGACTAACGCTTCAAATAATCTGTTTTATTTATTTATTCTATTTTTATTTATGTAAGAAAATGGCAAGTTTTCTGCGTGTTCACCTGATATTAAGTTATAATTGCCTATGGACATTTGAAATACCCTTAGGGTTGTAGATGCGTTGCCATCTATTAATAAAGTGGGCTTCGGTTACGCCACTCACCAGGCGAAACACAGAAGTATAAAGCTGTGTATCTAACATTGCATCGAATGCTTTTCTAATATCATAATGTGATTAAAAAATAATGCCCTTTCACTGTCAGAGTGTTTTGGAGTTATTTATGAATGTTCTAATCACTTATCAAGACCAATATTATGTACAATTACGAGGTAGATAAGACACTAGCGCATCGAAACTGAGCCACTCAAACTACGTCAATTGATGTAATTTGATTGAAATTCTATAGATTGCTTACCTGTTTCCGTATCATACGTTCTATATCATTTTTATATCGTCTGTCACATTCACTTGTATAATTATGCCATATAATGTGAAGCGGAATAATTTTTAAACGCCGCACAGTATGGACTTGCCTCATCTTCATTGACCAAGACATGACTAACTATCAATGAAGCTGACGGTGTTTATATGTTATTTCCTTAAAGACATTATTCAAAGCTAAGTGTCGTTCTGTTAGCAATATAACTATGATGAATACATTAACAAAATCATTCGCGAGCGATCAATGTACAAAACTTTTTTAGTTCATCGTCACACTTCGCAAAATCTTTTCGCGCGACTGTACTCAAAATCTGGTTTCAATGCGCAATAGTCGCTTCTGCTATTACTATATTGGCTCTCGTTTGAACTCAGTCACAAGTTTTATAACGGTTCGACTCTGTATGTTAATAATAAAGATTTTGTTCGTAACAGTACCGACTTTATTATCTTCGCGTCGTATCGCAAAATCGATTTTGTGAAACATTGAAATAAGTGTTATGTATAACGAATGTCGTAAACAAAATTACTTTACTAGTGCTCAATTTTCATTTCTTCTTTTAGCTGCAAATTTTTTAACACAAATAATTTATTACAGTCTTTCTAATTTAACAATCCAAAACATACATCTCAAGGACGACCATCGTGACACGAAACAAAATGTCGATATTGATTAATTCATAAGTCACTTTTTGTAAAAGCTCATTTGCATAACTAGCTGGAAAGTCTACGGTTTTAGGCCAACCCAATTAATGTATGAAACGGATTTATCTCTCTGCCTCAATTTCAAACTCAAGTTTTAAAGCAGCTATTCCGGCAACTTGTCGTCACTGTCAATCACGAAGAATGTCCGAAGTAGTTGTTCCCATATCCATCCATTGTAATCGGACAAACAATCCCTCCATTTTCAAAGAAATCCCACCCAATACAACGAAACTTTATGTAATAAATAATAAGATAGAGGTCTGGCGTTGTGCGCGTCACAGAAAAACTACTGGATAATTTTAATTAATTCTTCTAAATTTTATGTACGTACTTGACGCTAATTGAAAAAAATATATAGACATTTTTTTAATATCATTTAATACAAAGTTGTCAAAAGTTTTATGAAACAACGGTTTTTATAAGCACTACGTGTTCATTAATCTGTGTGCTCTTGCCGTGGCGAAGTGGGGCAAGCGATGTAGTTGCTAAAATGATAAGCAACGCAGACGAATTTGCGGGTATCTAGCCTCTTATATAATGCGGCGCTGTGATCGACCATTTGAAAGTTCCCGTCAACCGCCATACGTCAAATGTATCCGAACACATGTATCAGCGGTTGCGCAACGTCACTTCCGGTCGGCGGACTTTCATCCGGTGCGGCCATCTTGTTAATTAGATAACTGATCGCGACTCGGGGAAAGTGCCGCATGTTTAGATAAGTTTTTAGCGCGCTAAATGCGGTGGTGTCCATATAAACGCACACTTTTATTTAGACCTATTAGGCGCTCGCGTTCATTCATAATTGCAAAACTTGATCATTTATACGAGCTTGAACTTAAAGTAGGACGAATATTTTGAAATACAAAGACAACGTTAATTACACACCGATTGAGACTTCTTAAACTTAGTTCTCCATGTACACAATGTACCTACGCCTTTGGTAAGTATATGTCCTCAGTGCCCGTAGCTACTGACTATAAAGTCACGACCATGAACAGAACAGAGGGATGAATATCTACTTCCGACTATATTTCTACTCGCAAATGGCCGGTTTTTTTTTATTTTCTCGTTAGTAAAGACCTCGCGATATCATCCGCTGCAACCGCATGCAAACGGAGCAATCGCTACTTTACATCTGTAATCGTTTCTGTCTTCGGTGACGTCATGAAGGAGTCGCTTGGGGATTTATTCATTTCGCGTGCTGCGAAGACGACATAGAACACTTGCGACACCGCTTGTGCAAGGCGATTTGTGGCATCGCCGCTTGGAGGCGCTTCCACGACGCAAGATTTACCGCATCTTGCGAAACGACCGCGGACTTTCCTGCGAGAGCGAATTTAACGGTCATTGACCTCTGTGAGTGCGCTCTCACCAGCTCATTCATATGAGGACCCCTATTTGACAATAGGTGAGGTATAGGCGCTCTGCTTGTGAGTACGCTCTCAACGGTTAGGGGTTTATTCATATGAGGACCCCTATTCGACCCTAGATGGGGTATCCACGTTTTACGAAAGCTGTAAACCCCCAAAAGTAACACCGTGGTCTGCCAATATGCAGTGGGGGCGCGACTATGCCCTAGAACCATCTGTGAGAGGAGGCCTTTGCCTTATAGACTGTTTCTTTACTTACTTTTACTACCTGGTTTTCAAATCGCGACCACAGATGATAAATGTTAAACATGTTCCCTGTTTCGACATCTTAAGAAAACTTTATAATCGGGAAAAGATTTAAGGTGTACAGTGCAAGATTATTTTGGAGTTTTCCTCCCGCGGTTTAGGAATCTAACTACTAATTGTATGACTGTGGTACTCCAAACTCGCGACGGCTTGTTTAATTTCGGGTATAATGTTGAATATAAAGAAAAATGTGAAAATAACACTCGTTGTATTATAAAAACGTATTAGATTATTTAGCAAACGTAGATTAATAATACATCGCTAGTATATATTAGTAATGGCAATCAGAAACGACAGCTAGATATCTTCCTTATCGCAGACCAGCGTTACATTCCCACTTATTACCTCTCGTTGAAATCAAAACACATTCTGTCTATATAAAGAACCGACAAAGTGGCCGGACATAAAATGTATTTGCATAATCGGTAATCTACATATTCTAATGCAAAAGTTCGACGATGTTAGATACGAGCTATGGCATTTTCGTCAACACCGTATCACTCTGGCAACTTTAGAATGTAAATCGGGTGTTCATTATTGGACAGGTTTTTTTATCTTTCACGTTTAGTGTGTTAATAGTGGGTCAGAGGGAAATGGGACATGTTATTTACATTTTTAATTTGATATATTAATTTAATTATAATGTTTTTGTCTTACATAGTTTAATACTTTATTAAGATATTATATTTATTGAATAGTCAAATTTAATTTAAATGTCTTAACTAGTCTTTTAACTCTTCATTCGTTGTACAATAAAAATTAAAGTTATTGTTTTAGATCTTAAATAAAGATGTGTAATGTAACTCTTTATTTGTTAAACTACCGCGAAAATGAACAAAAATGTTGCCAAAGCAAAAATTAAGTAAAGAGACTACTATTGCTACCATTACGGGCCACTGCAATCTCTCATCGGTGCAATCACCGTCAATTCCTCGTATTTCACAAAACGCCGTGAAACGTTTTTTGATGTGTGAGTTATCAGAGTGCGACTTTGTTGCTTTTTTTAATCGTCGAATGGCCGCTAACACAACGTACGGTCGATACTCCCCACCGAACAAACAGAATCCGACATAAATCAAACGTTTTCCCTGTCTTAATGAATGCGGTAGGGTTGGCGCGATTTGTAACATGTTTTTTATGTGAGAAGTTCAACTGATGTTAGGTGATAACCGCCGCCCATGGCCATTTCCAACACTCGTGGGGTTGCAGACCCGTTGCAGCCTTTTAATAAAGTTGGCCTCGGTTACCTCACTCTCCAGACGAAATCCAGCACTTTTACTTCACAACGGGTGTCTGACCGTGGTATTCCTCTGGACGGACCTGCTCATTCGTGCAACAGTGAAGACTGTTGCGTGGCCCTACCACCAAAATTGGTGGTTGAGGTAAATCAATTTCAATAAAGCATTAATTTTTTTGAGAACTTGCAGATAAAAGACGTTAAAATTTTCGTCGGTGTGGCAGTCAGCCGTTTAGCTTAGTGGCTAAAGCGTCAAGCCGCGAATCCCGAAGACGTGGGTTCGATTCCCACAGCGGCGACAATCTTTTCGTACTTTTTCTACAAGTTTTAATGTTTAATCTTAAGTGCAGAGATTAGCACTATAAAAATCTTTAAATTTCCATTTACTTTTTGTTAAAAATTTCACTTTATCTTAATATTTCTAAATTTTTATACTGCTAATCTGCACTTAAGATGAAACATTAAATTTAGGAAGCGAACCCACGTCTTCCGGAATGGCGCCCAGACGCTAAACCGGCTGGTTGCCACTAATTATCTGAGTATCATACAATGATATTCCAAAAACCTACAACCCTAGTAACGTTTGTTAGTGAGGCAAAACGTATCAAAGATACGCCTAAATACGGCACATGATGTAAACAACCGAACGCAATACATCACAAGACTTGACTGCAAGACTAAAGGTTTTCTAAACTGCCATTATTCTATTCTATTTGTCTGATCGATGCGCGAATTCAGGAAATGTGCTGTATTATGGTGGCGGTACCGTTATGAGGACAGTTCGACGCCCGCGCTGCCAGTAATTGCTGCAGACAAGTCATTGAAGAATAGTATAATAAAAATCGTAAAAGTTTATTTAACATTACTTGTTGGTGTATATCTTTCTCAGATGCCTTTCAATTAAACTTCGTTATTAAAAAGAACTGTTAGCAAATTATGAAATTTTAAACTCACGACTGTTTAAAATAAAAAAAATCTTTTTACTTTAAACTGTAACCGTGCAAAACAAATTGCAGAATAAGTTAAACTATCACAGATACTGAAGGCTAAAAAATAACATCACTGTTACAATAAAAATTGTACGAATGGTTCGCAGATGTTTCTAAATAACGCCTTTGACATTTTTCGTAATTTCTCACATATGATTTCTTGTCACTGGGTCGCTAATCTGGCCGAATTGTTACGAGATCTTTGCGCCATACAGATAGGAGTGCAGTGCGAGAATGGCTGCACACAATCTCCCAATCAGCTACTGTATTGTCTGCGATGGCATGCAAATGGGTGTCCGCGTGAGAAGACTCGAGATCGCAAGTGAACGCGACCCCAAGGTCAGCGCTCCGGGTCATCTGCGCTTCGGTGCAGGCGAAAGGACGATGGCGTCACGTCTGTGTTGACATCATTCCAAAACTAACGCTTAAACTGTATCTTGTGAAGTTGATGATTCCGTCGGAGGTTGTGGGTTCGATCCGAGACAAGTATTTGTCTGACCCACAGATAATTGTTTCGGATAATTGATTCGTCGGGACTTTTTTGGAAGACGCCTATATCCAACAGTCGATCGCCGCATGGGCGACGGGGCAGGTGGGTCTCGAATGGACAACACGTCTCGGAAAGAGTAGTGTAGGAAGTCCACCTGCCAGGTGGACGAATGACCTGAGAAAGGTCGCTGGTAGTGGCTGGATGAGGAAAGCAGTGGACTGCAAAAGGCTGATTGATTGATTTATGCAGCAGTATGAACCGTTTCGTTTTTACCACGGCTAGCATCGTTCGATGTAATAAAAAACAAACCAACAAGGATCGATACGAACATCAAAGTAATTCAGGTTTAATTTAAACTTATACGCACGTTGTGACGCTGTCGCCGTACCGGTTACTAATAAAACGTGTGAATTGTTTCGGTAGAAAAGATTAGGCACAAAGCATTCTTGAGTGGAACAGGTACACATAAATTAGCATAAGCAATATCTAGAAGGCATTCAAGTCGCGCTCTTAATAACAGTTGGCAGAACCGCAGTGAATGAAATCGATTTTTAAGTATAGCTATTGAATAAATCACGATATTTGATTCGTAATCTGTACTTTTTGGTCGATTTAGTCTGCAGAACATTGATTGAATCAAATTCTTGTCCATTATTTACTGGACTGGTCACGAGAAATACAGCATATAACTGAAGTGAATAAAAAACCTAACTTTGATTTTACTCCAAGATAGTCACAATGAAATAATAATATTATTTTACTGTCATTTCACTTTTTACCTTACTTGCCTAGATACTGTTTTAAATGAGAATATGTACTCAAACATGTTATCTTCTTTGTAAACAAAAACAAATCAATATAGTTTAATAATATTGCGCTACGTAGACAAAACAGATTTTTGAACAATTAATTTATAGAGTAATTAATTTATATATCTACTACATTTCACCTTGAATTTGTCATCGTTGGATCAAAACCTGATGCTTTAGAAGCCACTGTTGTATCAAAACCTGTGGCACTCTTAGTCGCTTCTGTTTGGTTGCACAATAGGCCTCACAAATAGCCAAGCCACCTCGCCGCACCCATTAGCGAAACAATTTCCCGTGCGGCAGTGCACGAAATTTACATTAGCTATGGGAAACCGGTGAACTTCAAAGTTTGTGCGTCGACCGCGTTAAGAATTCGTACCGGTTCGGAAGCATTTCTGTAGCCTCGTGATATATGGCCCAATAACGGATAAAATTTAATAAAAGTAAACCACGAAACGATGCCTAACTAAAATTATAGTATGTTTCTCTTTACTTTCGAATGATATGGGACAATATTAAAGGACTACTTACTTCTTCTTCTTCTTCTTCGTAGTTCCCCCACTGCTGAGGATCCTGACCCATACTCTAAAGGTCTATATTAACCTCTTTCATAGAGTTCTCTTGAGAGTCTAAACGTAGAGGGTTCCCATTACCTTCTACGTCAGATCGTCTAGGGGGCATTTAATCCCCAAGGTCCCTGAAACCTCGAACTTAGTAGGCCTACGACTGGCGTACCTTTACGGCCACTTGCGGTACGCTATTCACAGTAGGACTACTGCGACCTCCTACTTTTACAAACCGGGCTTGGCGCCGTCTACGGCGGACTTACTAATTGAACAAAAAATCTATCTTAAAAATGCCTATTAATGAAACTGTTTATTCTTCATACATATTTGTTGCCCAAGGTTATAAATTTGGCTGACTTATAGAACAAGAGATATTATACCCATTCTTTCTTTAAGGAACAATTGAATCTTATTCACTTCTATGTTAATTTGTTACGGATATAATAGATATTATTTGCATATATGTACTCGTGCGCTGTTAGGCTATCAGCTTTTTGGAGGCCCTAAATTACATCCAAATATATCGTCAACAAACATTTCGTAAAACGATCGGTTGGATTGTTATTTTCGGGAAATTTTATACTTACTTGTAGAAAATTTTAATTTATTCATATTTTAATTCGGTGTTCCGAAAGTGAATGTCTTCCGTTAGGCTATTAAAGATGGCGTCATAAATAAATGCTCAAGATCGCTCGCAACGATTTACCAACGCAGGATGCTGGAACATTCGGATCAAGGTATACGAGATTCTCTTACGCACATGCGTCGAGGTCTGGCGACCGGCAAAAACTTACTACGCCACCTTATATGATTCATGAAAGAAGAGAATACAGCCTTCTGAAAGCTAGGTTACAGTGGTCTTAAACACTGCAGTGTTAAAATTGAGTAAAAATTTAGAAAGTCAGTTTAGCCGACATAAAACAGGATTGTGATTTCTGCCTGACTTGTACATTAGGTTGTTTTATATGATACGAGTATATATGATCCTTAGCCGAATCGAGAAACTTTTCGTGTTTACGTCGTAGTTTGCGCTGGAAAAATATATTTTCAAAAATTAATAACATATAGTTACTTGCAGCAAGTTTATATATACGTAAACAAGATCATAATTAAATAAAACTAAAAAATAACACGGCGCTATTTTTTTTAAATAATTTTAACGAAACCAGTAGAGCCGTTTAGTAGTCACGAGGGAACATAAGAATAGACCATACATACGATTATAAACAGGTAAAACATATGACCAGCCTTTTTTGTTCTTTGGCGGAATCGGGTAAAATACGCTATGTGATGCACTCTCAGACATTTAAGTTTTGAAGTACGAATTAACGACTCAGAAGGCACACTACATGGACGACTCGGACGAAGAAGGTAATTAATTAACCATTACATCTAAAAATTGAATATTTTCCGAAGTAATAGTTTTTGGGAACTTGACGCATCTACGACATATTTTTAGATTATTTTCCCACATTTATATCAATAGTACCTACCTATATACTTTACCAAAACTTATTTAACTAAACAATATTAATAAGTACTAGTATAGAGCCTTTGGTGTGTTGGTGTTACCACAAAATATTGTGTTATAACCACAAAGGATTTAGAGCATATAATTTTATATTATGTCAATGTTAAATCACGACCACTATGGAGAACAAACCGCATTCTTCTGTCTTGACGTTTGTCACTTGCGTTATCGCGTGGCAGATAATTCATCATGTTTCCGTATTCACTATGCGATGTGCTTTAGTACTCATGTTTTCGTTATTGTTCGAAACCCGCATGTTAATCTCTCTCTTTTAATCATTTGCTGAACAAACAAATTGTCCGATAATGCTATGTCAGAAATAGTTCATTGGTTTAATGCTAATGAACTATAATAAATAAATAAATAAATAAATTTTAGGACACGTTCTTTTTACACAACATTCTCTAGTCCCAAACTAAGCAATGCTTGTACTATGGGTACTAGAAAACTGATAGACATACTTAAACATACTTTTCTTTTGTAAATAAATACACATTATACATATATAAACACCCAGACACTAGAAAAACACTACGCTCATCACACAATGTTTTTCCAGTAGTGGGGATCGAACCCACACCCTCTGGCGCAGAAGGTAGGTACACTACCGACTACGCCATTTGGGTCGTCAAACTATACATTACTATACATTAAATAAATGCTGATACACTATTACATGACAATAAAACTAAGTGCGAGTGTTGAATATTTTTGGTATTACGTGTGTTATAGACGTGTGTGTATAAATAAATAAATACGTAGCGACAAAATTTAATAATTATGTATGTTATATGTTTGCAGCTTGGAAGAGTACCGGTTGGTGTGATGCTACCGCCGCGCTACGCCACCCTACCGCTGCCGGCGCCCTACGCTGCCCACGCCCCCCACGCCCCCCACGGCCCCCATGGTCCCCACGCCCCCCATGGCCCCCACGCACCTCACGCCTCCCACGGTGCGCCTGTACCGATCTACTACCCGATGCACGAAGCCGTAAGTATCAACGCGTTCCCTCAACACAACTATTCCGACCAAAGACTCAATACAAAAATAGTGTGAATATAATAGTCTGTATTTACGCTGAAGTTATAATTATATGAAATTTACGTGAAATGGCTTGGATATAATGTATGCAATAGCTTCGGCGTAGAGGGTCGTAATCCACAGAAAGTCCCATCTGGGTGGTTGTCAACGTGAAAATGTTTGTAAAATGCCCTTACGACACAGTTTAATGTTATTCTAAATTAAGGGTAATGATTTAAAAAAAATGCATAAAGTTATTCATCCACAAATGGTAGCACCATGATATAAATATTAAACATTTTTCTCCTACTTATTATTAAGTCCCATCGTCACTTACCACGTACCGTAACATAAGGCATTGTTTCAGCGCGCGCGGCGGCGTCGCTCCGCGCTGGCGGGGCGGGAGAGGCGGCGCGTGGCGAGGGAGCGGGAGTCGCTCACCCGCTCGCTGGAGCGGATCCACCGCAAGCGACGAGCGGAGCGCGAGCGGCCCACGGACGCGGACCTAAAGCGGACCTACACCGGCCTCGACAGGTACGCCCCCCGCACTGAGCTACCCCGCGGACATATCAAGCTCTAGCGAGACGCCAGATCCTTTGGTCTCCCCCAGAAGCTAAGCGACGAGTATGGCCTGCTCATCTTTTACCAACCCTACCAAGAACGGTCCAACTACAATCAAAGCAACAAGCACAGCGCGCTCTTCTGTCGACCCTACGCAAGGACAGTCCAGCTCTGAACTAAAGCTGTGCACACGCGAGAACTATACTCCCTTTAGCCGGGCGAACAAACATAGCCGACACATAAGTGTAATTTAATATGGAGAGTGAACTCTACAGTTCATTAATTTAGTTAAAGAACCAACACATTAACGTGCGCATTGCCAATCAGAATAAGCAGCGCACCTTAGGACCTTATTAGACTTAAATACAGTGTACAGTCGTAGACTAGTGGTAATAGCGATACAGAAATACTTTATTCAATAGTTATAAATGTGATACGTGTTATTCTAGAGTAGCCTTTCCCGACTCGGAACCGGACGTATGCTAATATGAATACCGGTTCACAGGGCTGTCTCCTTTTTGCTAACTCTCGTAAAGGATTTAGAGCTCATATGATTATCTATACGTCTATTAATAACATCTTTGTCTGTGTACTGGCAGTTAGGCGAAAATCTAGAGGATTTTATCTTTTGTCTCTAAAAACTTACTGCAGTCATAAAAGATTCGAGTAAAACCATCACTGTGTTCGTCCCAATTCGAATTGGAACGAATTGCGTCTCTTTTAATATTTAATGTTTATTTACAAACAATATAAATTCTAACCCTCAAACACTATTCATTTTAACATCGGCAAATTCAAAATCGAAAAGTACAATACATCCTAATCTTTTATCCTGTCATGTCAGACCGTTAATAAACTAAAACATACAATGCGTACTGAGGCGATATTCGTAAAAGAAAATAATTCCGTCATAAGCTAGGCATCAAAGAACCGGCGTGCAGTAGAAATGTTTGCGTTTTGTCTGGTGAATAGGTAAGAACTGGGAGGTTATCAATGCACCAACCGCAACCCCTCAACGGTCCATAGACTACTACAACACATTACCCATTTACCTACTTAGGAATGGTTCATTCACATACCCTACATGTCGCACCTTAAGACCCCTGACCTATCCCGCAGAGCGTACGCAGAGCAGTTCATAGCGGTCTGCGACGAGAGCCGTCACGCCGCGGAACACCACGACTCCCTCGCCAGCACTGCCACCAGCGACACCACGAACCCACGCTGACGCCACACCCACCTCGCGGACACCACCGTTACAACACCACATCAGATATCTCTCCAGACGTTGTCTAGTTGTAGACATTAGTCTACAACTGGAGTGAAATTGACTGTTGAAAAGTCTTTAATCATATATCTGATGCGGGATTCCTTAATATTACTAAATTAGGCTTGACTTACTTAGCTTGCAGCCTGCTGATCCTATTAAGTACTTGCGTCTTGGCAATTTTCTGAGTTGTAAAAGCGTAATTTGGTCCAATCTTGTTGCAAAACAAGCAAACGGTAAAATTTAACATTCTAAAGATCTTTCTAAGAAGAAAGCATATTTATAACTTCACATTTAAATTATTACTTTATTAAAAGAAATGTCATTCTCGACTCGTTCCTTTCCTAATATAAAATGTTATCACTTATACTCCTAAGTCTACGTAGTCATTATATTGTTCACTTCAGTGTTGCTACATTATGGCGATTCAAATTTGAAATATTTAAATTGATATTTTTTTATATTAGTTTTCCATTGAAATTAATGGCGGAAAGAAATTCTGAGATGAGATTCTAGTTTTAAAGTAAGAGAAATTGTAGGGAAAGTTTAAATAATATATTTAGATCAAAATTTTCTTCGAAACCAATCATACCATAATATAAATACTTATTTTAACATTATTATTATTCTTAATTTGTATATTTTAGGTTATTCATATTATGCCAAACCTTAACTATTTTAAGATTTATTGTAAATACTAAACATTTAGGTTATATCTTAATTTAATAATTACTAACACCACTATACTAACATAACACTGAACAAATTTACTATTTTACTTGAATTCGTAATTACAATGTTGCCATTTCACACTTGCGGAGTTCTCATAAAAGACACATACTAAAATCACTTTACTAACATAAACATGTAAATTCTTTATCGTCGTCAAATATCTGTGTTATTCTCTAATTATAAGCTCTATTTATCTAGTTCTTAAAACGATAGATTCATAAGGATGCATTCTTTAGTTCTTTCGTTATTCAATTATGCCCGGTTCCTATATTCAACGAACGGCCGTTAGTTACATAACTTCCATAACTTCCGTAAAGACTCGTTGTAACGACTTCATAATGACAATGTAACTAGGGCTTTAGTCGTCCGTATACCACCTCAGTTTGTGTCCACTTTCGAATATGACTTGTTTTAAAAGAAAATGTCTCCTTGTGAATCAACTTAAAAGTAAGACTACGTTCAGCTGCTTGTCGGTGAAACGTAAAAGGAGTTGAAAATAACCACAATGATTAACATTCTAGTGTTTGTACATTAAATATTTGAAGTCCGTTGTACCTAAGCGGTGCCAAATTCTGAATGTTTGCACTTCAATTGGTCTGTAAATATAATGCTAAGTGATGATGCAATCTAAATTTGCTCAATTCTTTATTTTACATTAGTATGTTTAAGGCTAATCATCTGCAAACACTAATTTATTCGGACATTGTTATTTATATCTCTACTTCAACACAGTGTTGCAAGCTTATTTGAAAGCTGTCAAGGCAGTGTTCAAGGCGAAATGATGATCAGAAATTGAATCCACCAAATACCTAAGCTATAATTATTTACTCTTAACGTATATTATACGTTTTTTATCTTGTTTACCATATGCTTTGTATTTGTATTTCGTTTCATTACCGAGACATTCGTTATATGGTAAAATGTATGGAATATGTATTCGTACATACAATACAATGTATTAATACTTGAAAAACGTATCCTTTATTCTTTTTCAATTCATATTGAAATCTTTTCATACATAAAAAAACTTTATAATATATTTCAAAAGAAAAAATATGCGGTGTTGTTTAGGATAGTTTTTTAATATTTTTTTTATTTTATCTATGAAATTATTGTTATTGTCTATAGTCACAATGCAAATGAACTATGTGCACTACTAAAAAATATTCTAAGAAAAGTTTAGTAAGATTTATACACCTTGAGTGTAGTAACAGTCCACTATGAGATTTAAATTACACTTATACAATAAATAAATTAACATTTTTGTAAATAGAAATAAAATATTTTTGTATAATTCTTTTATAATCTAGATATTTTTAAGGTGTCAGGTGTTCAGTGAACGAATGCGATGTTAATTGTAAAGAAGCGATAGAAAAATGTTAAATGAAATATTTATAATTGTAATATACCGTTTGTATGAAATGAAATAAAGTTTTGTACACGTTTTTTTTTTGGTTTTTTACCCCGGTCTTAATATTGTATATTCCACGAGTTATAAAAAGATCCCTAATATTAGTTATCTCCATTCCATATACCATAAATAGGACCGTCGAAACGTAAGTTTACTTGCTGGAATTAAGAGTAGATTTTTTTTATTTTTTATTGTTATAGACGCACCAACAGTATACAAATTTACATAATTTACAAAAAAAGAAAAAATTATAAAACATTGGACCTAATATTTACACCTATAACAGGTGTTTGGTTTTAATTAAACAAAGTTTAAAAAATAAACAAATAAAAAAAACAATAACTAATACATAAAAAAATTGTTTGTAACAATAGAACATACATAATAACCTAACAATAAAAATGAAAGAATCAAAAATAAATACATTAATCTTAAAGAAGAAATTTCAAATATCTATGGCGCCATAGTTTTTTCGCAGTAGCCTTTAGATTGAGAAGTTACAAAGCTTTAGGTAGTTTAGATCAGATATTACTGGCAGTTATATCAACTGTCACTTTGAGTGCCAAACCAGGCGATGAAATAACCAATCATATTATATACTAACTAATACGAGGTTGATATGACACTAGCGCACCAAAATTGAGGCACTCAAATTATGCCAATTGGTGTTATTAGATTGCAATTCTATAGACTGCTATCTCCTTCCGTATTATACGTATTGTCTGTCACATTCACTTATAAATGTCATGTAATGTAAAGTAGAATATTTTTTTAAATCTCTCATCTGAATCCAGCAAATCTATCGCGGAAACTAGCTCATTTTCTATCATTTAATCTATTAGTTTTAGCATCGAAGTCCGCAGCGACAACATTATCTATCTTCGCACCTAGCTTGGTTGCCAACCCAGGACAATCCAGCACAATTTTATACTCGAAGCAATTAGCGGCTATTACAGTTATTTTGTTGTCTGTATCAATCTTTGTGTCAAATAAGTAATATCTGTTACGCGTCTAAGAGACGTGGGAAACGAGTGAGCGATTCACTCGATGTGCAATTTAATATTAAGACTCGTCGCGATCCACGTCAGCTGTGGGATCGCACTTGGGTTACCAACAATTTTACAATTGCCGCACTCCTCACAAGAAACGACATCCTATAAATAATACTTCTCGTTCATACCGGTCTTCTTAGAAGCCAGATTTTAGCATTATTCTAGCTGGACCACAGAAGAAGCAGTTAGATTAAACAACGAAATTCAATTAAAAACATTGCATCGTCGATAGAATTGAATGCTTTAATAATGTTTTGTTGCACGAACATTTTTGGGTTAGTAATAAATATATCTTTAAACGCTAAATCGAGTGTGGTATTCAAAATTCGTCGTCGGTGAGCGCGGCGGCGCGTTGCAGCTCGCTGTCCGAGGAGCTCTCCGAATCCAAGCCCACGTCCCTTATCGCATCGTTGCCTGGGTAAAAAGAGAAATTAACACCACGCTTTCCCTGTGGGGTGATCAGAGACAGTCATTTTAGTAGAAACAAAAGGAAAGTAAGAGCCTATCCCACTGCTGGGCCTCCTATTTACGAAGAGTATTACGGTATAGTGCGTACATGGTTGACCATGCGACCCCGCTGCGGATTGATGGACTGCACATATCAACAAAACATTTTTTTTGTTTTCAACAAAACATTATTTCGAAAATATGCGGGTTTCCTCATTATGTCTTCCTTCATCGCAGATCACTTGATACGTTAAAATCAACATTTCCATTTGCGCCAGCACCTGGATTAGAACTCGAGTTGATCGAGTATAGCGAGCGAGCGCCCGGACACGGGCTGTCACGGCAAACAAATGTCTCGACAGCAAATATACTGAATAACTTCAATGATGTGATGACAAATACAGTTTTCTTCACATGTTCAAGTAATTGAATAGAATGAAAGAACTCCTTAACCGTAACAGTCAGACGGACATTAAGGCGGACCTGCCCATTCGCAAAAAGAAATCATCAATTGGTTCAAAGTTTTCTCAAGTGAAAAGTTGCCAAGCGAGCAGGCGGTTCACCTGATGTTCAGTGAATACCGCCGCCCGTGGTCGTCTCCAACACCGGAGAGACTAGCAGATGCGTTGACAACCTTTAAAAGTCATCGCGGTAACCTTCCACTTCACGCCGGTCTTCTGCGAGGCCGCGGTACTACTCCGGACGCCTGCCCATTTCTGCAACAGGAGGAGCTGTTGCAGAAATGGGCAGCTACAACAGTGCAATGTGGTGCTCGTACCCTCTCCAAAGTCGGCGTAATCGTCCGCTCCGGCTAGGGTCCGCGTGCCCGGCCTTCCCCCCGCGGCCCTCACCCGCCGCCCTAAGTCTGACACGAAACAGAACTTATCTTAGGACCGTCATAATAGGAATGTGTATACAGGACATGACAATGGAATTTTTTAAATAAATGAAAAAATGGTTACTTAGGCACTATTCGCGACAGATTGTTTTGTCTTTTATTTTTAGCGCCTAATACCTCTGGTATGAGGCGTTTCAGTATTATAAACTCTTTCCTGGACAACCTGTATAAGCAACGTGGAACGTATATCGGTCCTTTAATGTGTCAACAGAAGTAGCGATTTGGCTAGCGTTTCGTTGTATTGTATTGTTATTTGCAAAAGTTATGTCTTTCATACTTTTCCTTGCTTGGCATTACACGAATGCCTTATCATGTGCTTAATTTTAGTCTACCCTACAGGCTTTCAGATGTGTTGGCACCTTTTAATAGAGTGGGCCCCGGCTATCTCACTCAGCAAACGTAAAAGAGCAACAATTATACTTGACGCCGGTCTTCTGTGAGGTCGTGGTCCTAGCCCGGACGGATCCGCCCATTCGTGCAACAGCGAACACTGATGCGCGGTCAATACCGCAGACAATAATATTTTTTAACCCTAAGTAATATAAACACTGTTGTATACAACAAATATTTTCGTAAAATTTTTGTTGTATACAACAGTGTTTATATATTTTTTTTAATTCTCTTTTTTTTTGTTTTCTCGTTTGTTTAGCACTTAAATTTATTCTCGACGACCCGAATGGCTCCTGCGCCAGAGGGTGTGGGTTCGATCCCCACTACTGGAAAAATATTGTGTGATGAACATTGTGTTTTTCTAGTGTCTGCGTGTTTCTATGTGTATAATATGTATTTATTTACAAAAGAAAAGTATGTTTATCAGTTTTCTAGTACCCATACTACAAGCTTTGCTTAGTTTGTGACTAGAAAATGTTGTGTACAATAATTGTCAATAATGTGTCCTAAATATTGTACATTCTATTTTTTTTTTCTTGGCTTTATTATTATTATTATTAATGAGCGTGTTGCCTGTTTGTTTCGCCTCACCGCGGGGCGAATCGGAGCCCGAGTCGGGGCGCACGTCGTCCAGCGAGTCGCGCGCCGCCATCGAGCCGAAAGCTCGCCGCGGCGCCCCCCTAGGGGCGAACGCAACAGTGCGGTGGATTCTTTATTCTTTTTATTTTACGTTAAGTTGCCAAGCGAGCAGGCGGTACTTCTGCTACACCCGAGGGTTGCAGATGCGTTGACAACCTTTTGAAAATTGGGCTCCGGCCACCTCACTCACCAGACGAAACGCGAAAGTATTTATTATACTTCCGGTCTTCTGTGAGGTCGTGGTACTTACCCGGACGAGCCTGCCCATTCGTGCAACAGCCGAGGCTGCTGCGTAGCCCTACCACAGTTATATAGTGCGATATAGTCACATATTTTAGGTTTTTTGGTCCTTCGCTGCCGGATTTTGTTGACAATTTGCCGATTAAACTGATGTTTATCCTTGTTATTTATTTATTTAATATTTATTACATTCTCCTACAAAATAATAAACAGAAACAGCGCTCTAGCGGTCATATACCATGAATATACCATTGCGGTAAAATTTTGGCAGGCGCAACGGGTGAATTTAAAGTTAAAAATCCGTTGAGATTTACGTCAGTGTGGCAATTAGCCGTTTAGCTTAATAGTTAAAGGGTGTTGGCGCAAATTGCGAAGACGCGGGTTCGATTCCCGCGGCGTCGAAAAACTTTTCGTCCATTTTTCCTACAAATTTCGATATTCCTGTAAGCTGTTTCAATTATTAGTTCAACGATGTTCGTTCGACGTGTAATGTATATGTGAATTGGCTGACCGGCCGTGTTGATGCGCAGCCGCGTGCGTGGCCTGGGTGCGGGCGGTGCCCCCCCCTCCCGCCGCGGCCCCCCCGCCACCGCTGCCCCCGCTCTGCCCACTGCTGCTGCTGGCCTCGCTCGAATCCTCATCGTCTGATCGTTAAAAATATTGTAGTAGTCAACAAAACTTGACAGTTTTCATAAGCACATAATATATATTTTTTTTAACAAAGAAAATATTTAATTTATTGTAAATTATAATACGACTAATAAATTAAATTTCTTTATATTTATTATTATCCAAATACAATAACCATTTTCAAATCTTCATCGGAAATCATATTCGATTGTAGATGCGGCTCATTTTTTTTTTCGTTAACAAAATCAAAATCAAAATCAAAAATATATTTATTCAAATAGACGCTTGCGCGCTCTTATGAATCGTCAAATTTTACATCAAAGATTATGTGTATAGGTTCGTAAGGTACCACCGGTTCGGAAAGCGGTTTCTGTTGAGAAGAGCCCGGCAAGAAACTCAACAGTTAACATACACACTTCAGGCGAGTGATTAAAAAAAATTTAGTACATTGTGGATATACCAAGACTCGGAAAAGGAAAATCCTCGACAGGGATGGTTCTAAGGGCTTTTTAATCTAAAACTCGAAGAAGTCTATAATTATGAAGACTACAGACTGATAGTATTAAATCCTGTCAAAGCCACATTTCTCCGATTTTGGGGACTTAAAGCCCGCGGAACCTGCAGCCTTCCGCTCTATCCCCAAGGAACCTTCCAACAGTACAGGACCGAGAGCAAAGGCATCAAATATAAAGGTAAAAAGGTCCTTCACAACATTTAAAACTAGGTATTATGGATGGTTCGACAAGTAGGGGTACCTGTGGCGCTGAGCTTGCCGAGGACGTCCTCCGCCTCATATTTGTGGATGAGCTGCATGACGGCAGCCTGCTGTTCCGCCGCCGCCTGCGCCGACGCCACGACCACGCCACGACCACACCACGACCGCACCACGACCACACAACGACCACGATCATTGGGTGCGATAGGATCACATAATAGTAACACATTAGCATAATCGCTCAAATGCCTATGGTTTTGTAGCACCGAGTAAATAAGAATACGGACGTTTTTTTTTTTCATATCTTGCTGTTCATTCAAGATTATTATTGAAAAATTTCGAATAGCAGTCGTTTCTGATGACAAGTGATAACCACCGCAATGGACATCTATAGAACTAGCTCCAGGAGTTTGTTGCTACACGAGTTCGAGCTGAACGTGCCGTTGTCCACTTTATGAAAAGGTGGCAACGCATCCGCAACCCTACGGGTGTTGCAAATGTCCATGGGCGGCGTATCACTTAACATCAGGTGAACCGCCGGCTTGTTTGCACCTTCTCACATTATATAAATCCACCAGTACACCTAAGAAGGAAGTCGCCAAGGCTCGGACCAATTTCAGAGGCTGTTACATTTCGTGCAGACTGGGGGAATGTTCCGAAAGGATATCCCGTGACCCCCCATTTGAGTAGCTGGCGTCACCGAGATTCCGACGCAACCCGGGATTCCCCTCGGTATCCGTAACGGATTTCCCCACGGAAAAAAGATTCCTCGCAGACCGTACCTCCGAATGCGCCCGCTCCAGCACGCTGAGCTGCTGCTTCAGGGCCTCCACGCAGCGGTAGCGCAGCACGTACCGGTCCCACAGCGCCTCCAGCTCGCGCTCCAGGGCGGTCAGCTCCGACTGGTACGCCGGCCTGTCGGATGCGGGGAGTCTTGTGGATGCGGGTACTTCGAACGGTACCTACTTTAGCGAAACTGTAATTTTTATAATAATGTCCTCAATTGTTGAGCTCGTGGTAATCTTGTTTCGGACGAAATAATAGCGGATTACTAGACACCATGAATTCAGTTTACCCCTAGATTATTCTCGAAAGTACAACACTGAACAATAACCTTATAGCAAGCGAAAGCCGTGTACGCAACATAGTCTTGCACCATACTCTTTGGTTCCTCAACGTCATGTAGGCAAACGGAATCAATGTATCGCATAATATTTTAAATGTCCTACGTCACGGGAGACAGACAAGGACAGAGAGCGTTCGAAATATCGGTAATTAAAATCAATATTAAACGCGCCAAAATCCCTATTTATACTTCGAGTCGGCGATTCGACTGATATTAAGTGATAGCCCCCGCCCATGGAGATGCGTTGCAGTTTTATTTAACAAACTAGCAACCCGCCCCGGCTTCGCACGGGTGCACTGTATTATACATATAAACCTTCCTCTCGAATCACTCTATTTAGTAAAAAAAACCGCATCAAGATACGTTGCGTAATTTTAAAGATCTATGCAGAGGGGACGACTTTGTTTTATACTATACTAGCTTTTCGCCCGCGGTTACGCTCGCGTCGAAACCCTTAGATAAATATCTTTCCAGCTTCGTGATCAGGAGGTTCCTTTAACGGAGAAGAAACAACCGAAAGAAACTTCGTAGGTATGCTAATTTGTAATTTTTTTCCCCTTAAAATATTATAACGTTATACAGTTTTTTTTTTAACAGTGGTAGGGGCACGCAACAGCCTCGGCTGTTACACGAATGGGCAGGCTTGTCCGGGTAAGTACCACGACCTCACAAAAGACCGGCGTAAAGTGGAAGTATAATACTTTCGCCTTTCGTCTGGTGAGTGAGATAGCCAGAGCCCAATTTTGAAAAGATTGTCAAAGCATCTGGAACCCTCGGGTGTATGAGATGTCCATGGGTGGCGGTATTCACTTAACATCAGCTGAAACGTCTGCTCGCTTGGCAACTTTTCACATAAAAAAAAGACAGCTGAATGTAATGTTTTTCGAGTGCATATTTAGTACCCTCTTTTGACAACATATGGTGAAGTTATCAGGGCCGAATTTAGAGGTCTAGAAGCCTCGGTGCAACAAAGGAGACCTCTTGACCCCAAGTAATTTTTCAAATGAAATGAACAATTTTTGTCAGTCGAATTTTCCAATAAATAATTTATTGTGAAACCAAGTATAGATTATTTTATTATTTAACGAACACATAAATATAACCGGAAACAAGAATTACCTAAAATAAAAAAATTATTTACTAGTGTTTAAGTAAAGTAAAGTCTATACATGTCCCACTGCTGGGCAAAGGCCTCCTCTATACAGAGGGTATCAGGGCATAGTCCACCACGCGGCCCCACTGCGGATTGGCGGACTTCACATATCTTCGAAAAAATTTTTTTTGTTATTATTTCGAAAATATGCAGGTTTCCTCACGATGTTTTCCTTCACCGCGGAGCACGTGATAAGTCAGCACTTAAAGTTAAAAACTTCATTGGTGCCGGCACCGGGGATCGAACTCAGGTTGCTCGAGTATATTGAAATAAAGGCGAGCGCCCGGACACTGAGCTATCACGACTCTTTGTGTTTACTAGTCTGAATTTGTATTAGTCTCTATTGTCGCGGCGCCTCTTTTGTGGAGGCCACCGGGGCTACTGCCCCGGAGCCTCCCCTAAATCCGGCCCTGGACGTTCATCTCAGTTGTGGGAGTGACATATGGTAGGCCACATGCCATTGTAACCGATATAAATAAAGTTTAAAAGATAGGATTTTTCAAATAGAAATTACTTACTCTTTACTCGATCTACCGGGGACCTCGTAAGCCACGGTCAGTATTTAAGATATATCTTAACGGAGTAAATAAGCCATTAACATTGTTCGTTTAGTGCCTTTTAAGGATTTCACAGAAGAGAACGGAACAGAAGACGTAAGCTAGACGTACAAACAGCTCTAGGGCGTGCGACACCAGCGCCACTCGCCCCTCAAGCGTGTCTGCGGAGCCGCCCAGCGCCGCATCGGGATCGACTCGCGCCGCCAACCAACGCACGCAACTCTCCAGGAGGGGCCAATTCGGACCCCTGAAACTCTCCATCGAGACCTGCTGCGGACAGCCCAATACGCGCATATCTTCGATGAAGTCTGGAACGATCACGACAATTCAGTTCCCAAACATGAATTGCAACACAAACTCCATCTGATTGTATATAAAACTTGGCTTGCACAATAGTGCAAGAGGCTCTCGAAAGGGAGCGAATGAAATTAATCAAGTATTGGGCATAGAGGGACCAGTATCCGATGAAGTACCGTAACTATTTCAGCATTACATGTCTCGCTGCTGGGTAAAAGCTTCCACTTGAAAAGGGCATAGTTCGCCCTCATTCCTCCAACGCGACCTCAGTTACAGACTTAATATATTCGAATTATATTTGTACCGATTACTAGTAGATATGTAGATTGCTTTGTTTTCCTTCATAGCCACGTAAGTACGTGGTAAATGAGTCCTTAGACAGTTATAATCAGTTCCAGCACTGGAATTTAAACTAAAATATATATAAATACTGAATTCAAGCGGCCGCCCGGAAATTGAATTACCATGGGAATCTTTCAATGACTGCCCAATAAAAATTAAAGTACAAATCGAGCCTTTTCATTCATTATAGGAGCTAATCCACTACTATGAACTATTGTTTCTATTCGGATTTTATTGCCTTTGACTAGGCTCTTTGAATACTCACAAGCATTCATAGTTACGAGAAGCCACAAAAAATCATGGCATTTTATCGGTTCAGTTACTCTGAATGCAAGCTTTAACGTGTAAAATCTATTTCATATATTAAAACCCCTCTAATATAAAATAATCGTATTCAATAGCGGAAGTAAATAGTTAAAAACAAAGCACCGTTTCTCAGCCAGATAGAGGTACCTATGCGTAGTCAGTTTGTAAGGTACAAAAAATGAGTTGGTATTTTTGTTTACATTAGTAGGTGCTTCTTTCATTTACTAAACTTCACTACAACATCTAATATTACTTACTTCTTAAATCTCTATAGGACATAATGCTATTTTAAACAAGTTTATTCAGACTCGAAAGTACAGTTGAATCACATGTTATGGACTAGTGTTTTCGCAACGTTGCCATAGCAACTAAAATTATGACAACATAACACGCACAGACATAAAATAAAATTTATAGTCTTTTTTATTTCGCACTTGATAGGTTTTTCTTTTAAATATTGTAAACATTTTTCATACATATATTGATGCAGCAGCGTTGTTATATCGACAGAAACGACACGGACAGAGGACCGATGCGTGAAATGTAACGTTTATCGATATTACATAATATGGCCTTTGTCATGACCTGAATAATGATTTATTCATAAGTAAGGGGTAATGATTATCGTTGATGGTAAGCGCGCAAAAGGTTCAAACATGACGATCGTAAAAACTATTTCAAAATTAGGGCTCACGCAATAATACAAATAAAACAACCATCATATTGAAACATTTACTGAATTACATCTATAACTACCTTATGTTATGTTAGTTTTAATAATAAATTGAGCACACCAATAATAATTTGAATGTGACAGTAACTTATTCAAAAGCGAATTTTTAGTTTACATTCACTTTTAAGAATAAATGTTAAAGTGAACTCTAAATAGTCACATACAATTTATTATTTATCAGGACCTGTCTTTTGTATAGGCATTAGGGATACTGAGTTCCTTTATCAGATACATATTTGAACAAAAATCCCTTTATATTACAAAACAGTTTTTCTGATTAGTTCTTGCAGTGTCAGCAAATGCCTATGCAAGTTTGCACGGACATCCATGATGCTGAAAAGCAAACACTAGCATCTTAAAAATTCAAAGGCCCTTAGTTTAATTTTGGATCTTTTTTATTTGATTGATTGCGGAGAGAAGGAAACGAGATTATTAATAGACTTTAAAATAGCCCCTTCATTTTTGAAATTACTTTTAAGACTTTGTCTTGGGTTTTGTTTAGCCTAAACATGGCCATATTAATTTCACTTGTATGGGACTTTCCACTCCTGATATACATCAGGTAGTTCCTCACTAACAAATGGAAAATGTAAAAACAGTGAGAAAGTGAAATAAGTCCGTTTTTTTTTTCTTAATTAAAATGTACTTGTTCAAAGAAAAATTTTCAAAATGAAATTAAAACAATCCGTTTTTGGATTAAAAAAATTCGTTCAACACGGAGTTCATTGTCTTGCATGTTCATCAGCTGACACTGCATATAGTCGACGTGTGTGCTCAATTTAATGGAAAAATCATAAATCTACAACAGTGGGGGGCCGCTTCATCTCGCGTTTTATGGAATCCTCCCGTTTCACGGCCACGCGGAGCCGGGCCGCTTTCAGATGCCTGAAATTTAATTGTATATTGCGCATCAGTGTGTTGTCAACTTATATATTTTTTTAAATAATAAGATGCCAAACGAGCAGGCGGATCACGTGATGTTAAGTGATAACCGTAGCCCATAGACATTTGTTTTTTTTTTAAATCTTTAAATAAAGTGAGCCCTGGTTACCTCACTTACCGGGCTAAACACAGAAATATAACATTCCTCTTGTGTGAGGTGTTGGTACATACCTGGATGGACCTGCCCATTCATGTAACAGTTGGGTAACTGATAAACATACTAAATAATTTTTTGGGATGAAATATGTTTTAAACAATCACGAAAAAAGAATTAGAATAGTAAAAGATCTAGCTCAACTACCTTTAAATTACATTGTAAGTCTAATCACTTTACATTGTATACACAACTAAAAATTATGTTTACATAAATAAACTTTCGTAAATAGTAAATAAATTTTAGTAAAGTATTGCAAGAGCAATAAGATATAACCCCAACATGAACCAAAAACCATATTATTAACTTGCCTCTGACGGATCATCTCTTGTGTCTCAGGCGAGGGTTGGCGCTGAGTGACAGCAGCATCTCTTATCAAATTGCGCAACTTCTGCAGACAGTCTGCTAGATTCAACTGCTGCGATCGAGTTACATCAGACCGTATGATCATAAAGCCTTCCTTAGTTAGCTTCCTTCCATGCTGAAAATTTAGATAAATGGTTATTTAAGATATATGTATTTCATATAAGTTGCCGAATAGCAACATTTTCAAATAAGGTACTTATCACTCTTATTTTTTTCTTTGGTGTTTGAAATTTATGTTCAGCACAGAGCTTTGATGTGAACAAAATTTAAACTGTAATTATTCATAGGCCAATTATAAATGCACTAATGTGTGTGACTGGGCAAGTATACCATTTTAGCATCTACTGAAAAATGTTGTTAACAAAAGTATGCATTATCAAATTATAATGTCATTCACAATTAAAGCCCAATGTGTGGTTTTAGCAAGACATACCAGTTCAATCATTTTCTCTCTTATTTCAGGATGCAACCAATCTGCTTCGCTTAACTTGAACCTTAGATCTACTTTAGTGTGCACCTGTAAACATTGCATGATGAATTAAATAAATTTAAGGACTGCTTGCTTAATTTTATTTTAGTTATAAATCGAAAGAATTTGTTACCTTGTTAACATTTTGTCCACCTGGTCCAGAGCTGGCACTATATGTAATGTCCAACTTCTCTATTGGAATAAATCCAGAAAACTTTTCTTTAGGATCTGGTGTCTGAAAGTTTTTATTTAATTTATTAGAACTCTATTGAATAATGGTCGAATCTTGTGAAAATATTTTAATTTATTAAGTAAAGATCTCTTGACTCTCTATTGTATTTTGCTTTATATGTACCCAACAAACATTCCTTTCTTTCTTTAAAGGTTATCTATCGATTAAGAGTCCAATTTATATTATATATGCATTACTTATTCATTAGGGAAAATATAAAGAAAATAATACTTACAAAAGAAGGGGTTGTGAGCTTAAGGGAACTCTTCGGGTATAGAGTCTCTAAAGAAATAGCACTTTTAAAAGCCATAGTGCGATTAAACAATATTGAATAATGAGCGCCCTTTGCCATTTTTCTAAGGCAATTAAGCCGCAAAGGCGTAAATGACATTTTATATTGTTCTATTAAATTCTGATAAGAAATTAACAATTTACTGCATAGTTATAATATTGAATAATCAAATACAATAATAAACCTAACCTTAAAACATGATTATGAATAAATGACATATGTCTTTTATATAGATTAAAAATGGTATGAAATAATATTTTTATAGATTAAAAAATAGTCTGGTTTTAGTTCGGGCAGCTTTAACAGTGACGCGGACAACTTCGTCGGAAGAGGCCCTTAAAAAGATGAACTGTGGACTCAATAGCGACTGTGGCAGGGCACTATAGAAACTTCTGCTGTAATAATGGACAGGCTAGTTCGGAAAATTACCAGGGCCTTAAAAGAAAATCGAACTGAAGTGAAAGTACTATACTTTTGCGTTTCGTCTGTTAAAAGGTTGGTTGGTTAACGCATATGCGTTCTTATAAAGGTTGGTAACATATGCAATTACATAGCATATGTAATTCCTTAGGTGTTGTAGATTCACATCTTTTCACATAAAGATAAAGAACAACGTGGCTGGTGCACAACGATGACGCCATTGACTCCACTGCACCTCCGCGACCCGTGTTAACCAAAGATGGAGAATTCGACTAACACGACACAATCCAATGACTCTTCAGATAAGAACTCAATAAGAAGGTGATAATAAGGTTGAAATTGCGATTTAATTACGAAACAGCGTCTTCCAAAGATTGTTTTCAAAAATTAAATAACGAGAATAATTAGTTTACGACAGATAAGCGTATGAAACTCAAGGAGTACAAAAAGAATGAATTAACGAAAAATATTAATCCTCGTAAATTAAAAGTAAATAATTCATTACTTCACAAGAAAACAATCGTGTGCAGATTCTTCATAAAATAGCAAGAACAACAGAAATGGGCAGGCGTCCGGTGTAGTACCACAGTGTCTCAGAAGACCGGCGTGAAGTGGAAGTGTTACACTTTCGCGTTTCGTCGCGTTAGTGAGGTTACCGCGGCGACTTTTTAAAAGGTTGTCAACGCATCTGCTGTTGTTGTAGATGTCCATTGGGAGCCGTAATCACTTAACCTCAGGTAAATGACCTGTTTGCTTCGTAGCTTTTCACATAAAAAAGATGATGGACAGAATACTGCTGAACTGATCACAATGCAATTCGGTGTTCCGCATATACCACGGGCGTCGGATACTAAGATTAGATTTGTTGATTGTTGACTAAGATTGAACAGTTGCAAGAGATTGGTGAGCATAAGCGCGAAATAGACACTCGCATCGAAGTCAATAGAATATACGTTTTGTATAAATGTGTTTTTGTATGTGTTTTGTATTAAAAAACTTTCTCGCGTTTAGTATCATTTTACTAGACGTTCGTTTAAGAGGTATAGGCTAGACAAAAACTTCCAGTTATTAGCTAAAAAGTAATGGATTTGATCACAAGTCACAAATGAGCAACACGTGAATTCTTATCACATTTTTGAAAATTGCTAATCGATTGTAGGTATTGTAGGTCAAGACTATAGACGACATTACTAGATATCATTAAGAATCAAAATTATTTTGTAATTACGTTAAAAGTAAATTATTCTGTTCTAGAATATTCTTGAGCCTTATATTAAACACAATAGTTAAAATCTATTTCTTAATATCTAGAAAAATACGATAACATCGTGATCGCAGTAATTACTAAATACGTAAATTAAACTGCTACGCGTGTCAAAAATAGAGTTTTTACATACGTAAAATCAGAGAACCGGAATGAGATAAGTATCTATTATTAAATAAATAATTAGTATTTCATGCGGCCATCAAGACAACGATTGGTAACCAAACCGCTAAAGTCTATAAGGCACTTATTTTTTAAATTTTTTCAATATTTAAAACTGTCTCTATGCATATGATTTCCTTAAAAATAAAAGATGTTTAAATAAAAAACATAAACAATTAATCGACAAATCACACTCCCTGGTGGAATATAAAGAAAAAATTCCATAAAAATATGTTAATGAGAGAAAAGAGTTACATTTTAACAAGTTGGGGAAATTTAAAAAAAAAAACATGTAAATCCATATCGCTCATCGTGTCTGTTTCGCTTGGACCAACTAAATTGCCACTAAAACTCTTATGAGGAAACAAAAAGCGTGTAAGCGCGTGCAATTCACGCTCCAAATAATTTAATTAGGATCTCGTTCCGCCCGCTGGCGCCCTCTCGCGTTTCTAAGAGACCATTTAGACAATAATTATATCAAATTTGATTCCAAAATAAGCCGTCTATAAAAGTAAATAAAACAGTTATTTAACGAATAAAACATATTAGGTATGTATCATGTAAATGTGTTTCACATCTAAAGTGATTTTCTTATTATTCAACTAACTATATAAACGTCTCTTCATGATTTTATGTTTCCATTTTTATAAATAGTAACGTCGACATAAAATCATGACTGACTTATTATTCAGTTTTTTTTTTGTGTAAATCATGTTCGACATTCTTCCTAATAGCTTTCGTTATGGGAACTGCCGTGTTACTCCTCAAATTCGATTCGAATTTGTTTTTGTTTTCAATTCGAACTCACTCTTGATTCGAACTCGATTTGAAAATCTTACTCCCGAACCGAATCGAAACTAGAAACAAAACCGTGCGTTATCAAATCCGTTAACTGTATCTGGCCTATTACGTCGCAGACAAATGTTTCATGTTTACGGTTATAACATCTTTCTTAGATAAAATGTTAATTACTTAATTTTTTTCGAAAAATTATCCGATCTTAGTTAGTTCCAATTAGAGCCACTAATCGATTGTGCGCTGGCGTCAGATTCAGTGGTACGAACTGCCACGAATTCGAGTCAAATTCGATTGATTCAGAACTCCAACCTGTCGGGAGTAGGCAGCCTGGTCCTAAGATATCCCTCGCAAGTGTTGTATTATAACATTAATAACAATTTCTCAACATTTCGATCCTAGAAGCTTTTTTGTGCGCACTAAAATATTTAGAATTCTTGCAAGTCTCATTTACAAATTTTTCATTAAAAGATTTGAGAGCTTACTTTCTACAAAAAGACAAATAGTTTCATTTTATAAAATAACAGATTTTGATTAACTGTAAAATCCAACGGTCTCAGTGCAGTTTCCGTTTGGCTCATTACAGTTATCATATATCTCACATTTCTCTATGAACAGCAATTGAAATAATTTCCGTCAGACCGTATTATCTATGTTCATGTAGGCGAAAATAATTTGTATGTTTGCAAGTATGCACTTTTAACTTTAATATAAGGTTTAAAATAAAATTATTGTCCCATTACACATTATTAAATGAAACTAATTTTACGGATTTATCAAAACATTAACATCACAAATTTATTTTTTATTACAAACAAGTAAGCGCTTGCTAGGTGATATTTATTGGTGATGCACTCGTTAACCTCGACATCCCTCCCTAGCTAACATAAATAGAGTCATCGGCGCGTAAAATAACACTGACCACTTGTACTAGTGCCTGCCTATCTCTCGCCAATCCTCTTTAAATCTGACTTCCTTATTAAAGTGTGAGTCCAAAGTTTAATCTTCGATTCCACCGTGTAATTTGCTGGTGACCTTAATTGCAAACACGGAGCATAGTATTCGACTACACTGTTCTGTGTAAGCTGAGCAAGAAGGTTGGTGAGATCCTACTGACCAAAACCGCAATCTATTGTTATCGCCTCTAGGCATACCTCATACATATATAACCCGAGGACATAGGTCCCCAGGCTATAGACAACTTACCCCAGGTGATAGTTACGCCCCGATGACGCAAGTCGATCCGAAGCTCATATCTGTCGAAGCTGTCGAAGTGAATAGCTGTCGAAGAATTGAAAAGAATTACGTGTCGTGTGACTGACGCTTTGAACTTCCATACGAGCTCCGATGTCTGATTAGATAGAAAAATGAGTCCAAAAGGGTTTTACACCACATAAGATTGGAATCGGAAAAAGGATTAATCGCATGTCCGAGCAACGACGGACCATACTGTCGCCATACTGGAAGATCTTTATAGACACTTAGCCCAGCATATGACAGCAGTGCCCCTAGGACCCCTCCCATCGTTTATCCTTATAATTAGAGATGGTCGTTTTTCTAACAATGATGTTGATATTAGATGTTAGTTTGCTATGTTGGCATCCATCGTTGTCTAACATCGGATGTCACCGACAGCTACCTCCCAAGTGGTAACGAACATTACCAAATACAACGTTGTTGTTGGCCACTATTTATAGTAGACATGGCTGAGAATACCGGGAAATAACATTCGAAAATTTATGCAAATAAGGATAAAAGCCGCAAAACAAATTCTTATAAGAAAAAACATTGGAAAATTATGAAAAATGAGACGAAACAAGCCCGATTCAAATGCAAAGTGCATTTGAATCGGGCTTGTTAGAGAACAAAGATAGAGAACAAAATATAGAGAACAAAGTTCTTGCCTAATTTTTTTCACTCACTCACATTTGTCATTATTAATTATAACTACATTAGTTATGTTTGCATTAGTATCGTATAACGTTGTATCATTTACCTTAATTAGGCTAAAATAGGAAAGAACAAGCGAGTGCTGACTAGTTAAATTTCAATAGACGTACACACATAGATAAGTCGACGATTTTCATGACAACAATAAGTCTTGAAATATTATTATTTTTGTAAATAAATTGTCGAAAATTTTCGACGTTACGGGATTCGAAGCGGATAAAGCACCCAGACGCTCTAAGCAATTAAGGCAAGCTGCCATCGACCTCACGGTGCGAAAATCTCGACATCTAATTAATTTCCTTGCATATTTAGCAATGCTTGGCGCCATCTAATGTGCATACTTTACAACGTAAAATACTTTCATCCCACGTGCAGAAACTAGCACTAAAAACCAAAAAAATCATAAACAATATTTAAGGTTATCATAACGGGAGATGCTATTTTATGTTATTCAACCCCTAGACTTTTTTTAAGCTAAGGCAAAAAATAACTGTTAGTTATTTATCATGAGTCGTGATCGGGCGCTCGCCTTTCATTACATTTACCTACTCGAGCCTGAGTTCGATCCCCGGTGCCAGCACGAATGAAATTATTAATTTTAAGTGCTGAATTATCACGTGCTCGGCGGTGAAGGAAAACATCGTGAGGAAACCTGCACATTTTCAGAATAATAAACAAAATTGTTTCGAAACAAATTTTTCGCGGTGGACTATGTCCTAATACATGCCCTAATAATTTAACACGTAAGGGATGCTTTATCAACTTGTTAACTCATCCTTGCCTTATGCAGATAAAAAGATCGGCAGGTCCGGGCAATTACCACGAACTCACAGAAGACCGGCGTGAGCAGTATCGTATCGTGAGGAAGCCGGGGCCCACTTAATTAAAAGGTGGCAACACATCTGCAACCCCACGCGTGTTGCAAATGTCCATGGGTGACACTTTACATCAGTCACTTCTCACAGAAAATAGTTAAAAGATGCGCTAACAGACACACGTGGATTATATCCGAGCTTACAACGGTGATGTTATGCAAACACGAGCGAACATTAGAATAAATTATCGAGCCTGTCATTGTAGTGCCGATACAGTCTTCGTGTTCATTAAGTGTTATCTTACATTATGTATGTTACTATTGCATTTATCTATTGACACGTCTGTAAGACGGACGATTGCTTTGCTTTGTTATGCTGCCTTACAATGTCTTCTATACTATATGATGACGAGTGTACTTTAATTATTATCGTTCTGGTACACTAAATAGTTATAATTTAAATCTATATTTTTTTGGAAAAAGAAACTTTACTTTGAATTTAGGGGATATTTATGGTATAGATCTGTATAAGAAGACATGAATTTTGAATTTTATAATTAGTATTTGAATTAGAAACAGTTTTGTCTAGAATTACTATTGAAAATTTAACCAAAAACATGTCATTGAAGAGTAGATGCATCTTCATTCATTGCGAAGATTTAAAGATTTTAATTCCATTGATGAAGATTTCACCTTTCATAACCTTCATAACCTGCTTACGATTCAACGATAAACGCTTTTTTTTTTTTGTTTTTCTGAATCTTTCATACAGCTTACCCTCCGTCGCGCATGTGCTCATGCGTGCGTTTAACTACTATGTTCATCTAAGGGCCGTTGAGGTCGGCGGTTCGGACCGAGACCCCGACGGCCGTCGACTGTGCATTTAGCTAAGTGGGAGCGGTGAGAACCGCCCCGGAACGCGGGTGTACCTTTGTGTACGTGTTGTGTGGGTCTATCGGAGGCGAGGGCGAAAACTAGGTGATCTGGCAAACGGGTCGATGAGGACGTTTCGCGGGCGACGCTTGTTTACGTTGTTTTGCGGAATTTCGCTTAAAATCCGCTTCTTAGCTGATCTCTACTCGCGCGAAAGGATACCGGTTGCGCGGCGGATAAACTTATTTTGTTATATACTACTACCAAATTTCAAGTCTCTATGCCTTATGGTTCCACAGATATCGTGATGAGTCAATTATTGGTGGAAATCTCTTATATATATATTGAAGACTAGCTTTTCGCCCGCGGCTTCACTCGCATTGAAGCCCTTAAATATATTTCTTAAAAAGTCCAATTAAAAATAGCCTATGTCCTTTCTCAGGCTCTAGACTGTCTTTGTACCAAATTTCATTTAAATCGGTTCCGTAGTTTTGGCGTGAATAGAGTTACTTTTTGTTGTGATCGTGGAATAAAAATTCAGCTAAACTATCCCATTGATATGAATTCTACCAAATATATTTTTTTAGTCTATGGTTTGCATGGCGTTATCTGCAAGAATATAAATAATAAGGACTATTGCATACAGCATTTACCTAGTTAATTTTTCGAATGGAATCCTTTTGGTAAGTCTGCCATTAAGGTCGATGACAAATTTTTCTTATTTTCGATACAACACATGTCCTTGCCCTACATCAACAACGCCATCGATATTGTTCAAATAAAATTAGATAAACGCGCCCGGAAGGCATTAAGTGCTGTGACTCAATCGTTTCTATTGTTGTACGGATTTACGGCCCACAATGTTTACTCATGCGTAATGTTGGGACAATTTGGATATATATAATACAAGACGAATCGGCCGAGTTCGAAGCGTAATTGTACCACGACGACTTTGTCATGTCGTCGGTAATCCATGCGTCAAGTTCATTAAAAGCGTATGTATTATATCACTACATAGTATAAAACAAAGTCGTCCCGCTGTCCGTCTGCTTAAATCTTTAAAATTACGCAAAGGATTTTGATGAATTATGTGTATAATTCATGCATAATATAGTAGAGATGTGATGAAAACAAATACCCGTCCTTCGCACGGGCTAGTTGCTAGTATAGTATAACTTAGTTCCGGCTTTAAACAATTTAGCCGTTTGTACCAGTTTGTAGAAAAATGTGTATAATAAATAAATAAATGAATGGACAAAAAGATTTTGCCGACCCAGGAACCTGCGTCTTCCGGAGTCGTGTCCAGACGCTTTAACCACTAAGCTAAAAGACTGAATGCCACTGGCGACATCGCAACGAATTGTATTTACTAGTATTTTTTGCTATTTTTAAGTTAAAGTTTTAGGTCGCCGCCAGATCGAACGCACGCGTTCAATAATAAAGTGACGGGTTAACTTTTTTTTTGTGAAAAGTTGTCAACAGCAGACGATCCAAGTGATGTTAAGTGGACACCGTCGCCCCTGGACTTCTACAGCACCTGAAGGGCTTGCAGATGCGTAGACAAGCTACAAAAAATGGGCCCCTGTTGCCTCACTCACCAGCCGAAACGCATTACCCGGACGAAACTGCCCATTCGAGCAACAGAAGAAACTGTTGCTTGACCCAATTTTTGTTGAAAAAAACGTTGCACCTTTTTTTTCCGTGGGAAAAATCCTTTATCGATCCCCTGCCCCTGGATCGAGGGCGTGACAGGGGAATGCGGGAGTCCCGGAGACGGGTACCCACTAAAAACCCACGTTGCACCTATCTCTGTCGCAACGGCCGGTGATACGGGAACACGCAGACGCAATCTTCCGCGACCCCGGCTCGACTATGGCCTTCTTAGGCCTCCTCTTCACGTGTGCTAGGCCACCCAGTCCAGCTAAATGGTGCTGTGCCGGTGCAACTAGCACAGCACCCCTCACTAGCCTCATGTGCAGCAGCAGACACCCCCATGTCTGCTGCTCAGGGTGTTATTATCAGGGGGGAAGGTTGCGCGCGTAGGCCAGCCTCCTGTGTCCTGGTCTTCGGCGGCGGATTTCCAGGGTGGCAGTTGCCTCCCTTTCTCTCCACAGCCTCCTTCCGGGTGATAATCATGCACCCCACGGGAACACGAGACGGCAATCTTCCGCGACCCCAGCGCGAATATGATTTTTTGAGCCTCGTCTGCTGTGCCGGTGAGCGTGGCCCTACCACGTTGATTAATCGATCCCAGTCAGGAAAACGTTCCTTCGAGGAAGATGCGCTTTAGAGGAGAAAAGACGCTGCACTACGCGTGGCGTGCGCCATTTATCAATCCGATTCTTCCGCCGCGGCCGGCGCGTGCGGCCTGCTTTCATCAATTATGATAATGCCCGCGCCGCGCCGGCGAGCGCGCGGCTTTCCGAATTCCGCGCGAATTAGCGACGCCTTGGCGCGCCGCACTTTCGACCGTGTCCGACGCCCGCGCGCGCGATTCAGCTTAGAGTTTTCCAGTTTTTCATCGGATCCATCAGCGCCGTCCGTGCGGTATTTACGAAAACGCTACATCGACGGTTTTCTTACGGTCGAACGCACGAATGGCATTCCAACATTACCATCATCATCATTTCAGCCTGTTAGTCCACTGCTGAACATAGACCCTACAGACTCCCACGAAGCACGATCATGAGCCAACTGCAGCATAGCAGCCTACAACGAAATTTCATCTTTACGACTAGATGACAACCGCGACTTCATCTGCGTTGCTTATTAGGTTACCAACTGAACCGCTTGCCGCGATTCTCCACTGAAATAAATACACATAACTGAACACGTGCTTAAAGAATCTTTGTTTCTTAAATCTTTGATAACTCTAAGCTAAATAAAGATATCACAAAATTTATTTAGATAAGGCCCAAGTGTCTATTTGTGTCTAATATTCTAGTAAAACTTACATGAATTAATTGAAATCTATCCAGTAGTTTTTCTGCGATGCGCTCCCAAAAGCAGACTTGAATCATTTATTTCACATACACTGGCTAATTTACCGGAAATTATTAGGTACCTGTAGTAAGTGTGTTACCCTTGCGGTCAAAACGCAGTGATTATTTATTAGTATAGACAAGACCTAAGAAAGAAAGAATAAAATTAAATGCAAGAGATTTTAATATTACATTTAAAATTAAAATCCCTAGCGCATTTAATGTTTAAAAAAATTATTAAGCAGTGAACATCTTCAGGCCAGTGTGCCGTGCGCTTTTCGCCTTTCACAGATTAAAATAACACATTGAAATTTTAATAGTGCTGCTCTGCGCATAGAGCCGAACAGCGTTAATGTGGACAATAAAAATCGCGTATTCAAAAGAGAGAGAGTGGTGCACAGGTGATACTTAGCACATTTCTAAACGGGAACAGCGATTGCGATAAAATTAAAACGCTCGTAACAAAATTCACGGCTCTCGCGGCTTCACGCTCTTTTTCATTACCCCACTATCAACTAAGTAGTTGTAAGTTTAGACGTTACTGATAGGAGGTAAACTAAAGAACCGCTACATACAACTGAAAGTACATAACGGTATTGTCCAGTTTCAACGTAGATTTTAACCATATGTTTATAATGGGAAAATATTACATTTGCCATAACAAAACGAATTACATATACAGCGTGTCTTTACAATCGCGACAATAAATGAACACACATATAGAGGATAACTTTTTAAAATTGTATTAAACATTTACATTCTTTAAACATCAATATTTACCGAGTTATTAAATTTTCCAAAACAAACAATTTTAGAACACCCTTACGTATAAAACTGTAACGTAAAGTTCATTTGTAAAGGTCACAAAGCATTTATGTATGGGTTGAATGAATTTAAAAGAGACAAAACATACTGTTAGAAGGAGAGGCTTGTAATGCGACGCCGTGGCAACGAATGAAAAAGTCTCCGAATGAATGAATCAGTCAGTTGTAGTTGTATAGGATGTTACAAATTTTGTTTCTTTTTTACTTAATTAGTTTGTTTGAAAAAAAAATTAATTATTGATTTTTTTTAACGTAATAATTTTTTTATGATTATTGTGTGTTCATTTATCGTCGCGATAGTAACGACACGCTGTATGTTTATCTCTTTGTGATTAACGATCGCGTATAAGCTTATGCAAATAATTTATCAGTGACTTGCTCTGTTATTTTTCTTCTATATACTATGGTCAATCATATGACCTTGCCCTATTTAATTTATGTGTCTAAAAATCGAACTTTATTTTTAAATACTCGAGTTTTTTTTTTAATTCATTTGAATGAAAAAAAAAAAATAACAGAGGCCAATTTACGTTGGCCACATATGGTTTATAACAGACATTAAGTCCCCGGGCTAATTGCCGCTTAGCGCAAACGTTTCTAGGCGCTTTCGAGTATATTATAATTAATATAAATGTATGATGGAAATGCTTAAGAGAGCGCCAGCTGTCTCGATCTCTAAACGCAACGTGCGTGTTATAATTATCTTACAGCCTTGATTATTATAATCGCTAAATAATGTACATTCTGTAAAATAAAACGTAATCCAAGCGATGATGATCAAGCACACTAGCTATCTACTGGTCGTTTAAATGATGTTTAGAGAAATTTAACCTGAGAGCGGCAATAGCAAGAGGAAAATTTTACGTCAAAAACACATTGCTATTGCATCATAATTAAGTAAACATATGAAATTACTTATTCCGTCGGTTAAGTATTAAACATGAAATTTGACCGGGTGAAGTTATGTCACGCCATAGAAAGCCACTAAGACAGGATTTGGAAATTCGACTCCAAAGAAGGTGAGTTAGGGGTGGGTACATTAAAAGCCCCTTTTAATTTTTAAATAAAATTCAAGACTATGCTGCAAACAAAAAGTAATATTTTGTGAGTTATTAACACATCAATTGATAGCAATAAATTCACATATTTAATATACATTATATAACTTATGGCATGTAACAGTATTAGGTTTAAAAAGTTTTAAGACCTGACTTTCGGGCTGGCATAGTGGCATTAATTAACGTTTTCTTTATGGACTAGTACTGTTCGTGCATTTAGAACTTTAATGTAAATTTAAATTTAAAATATTTCAAATGACTTGTATTTAGAGCTCAAAAAACAGAAAACTTAAGGCCAATAAAAAGTGTCACATTTAAAATAGATCTCTCAACGCAAAAATAAAGTTATTAACTTCTAGTACGTTGATTTTATTTCAATAATTAAAGTAAATGAAGAGTTATTGTATTTTCATTTTGACAGTCGCAAAGTTGCTGTCGGCCATCTTTACGACATCCGCCATTTTGTCATGTTCATTGTTTATATGGATACAGATAATGTTTCCTGAATTTTGAATATTAAGTCCTCTAATAATTAAAAGTAAATGTACTTTTCATTTATTACAGTCATTATTAAAATTCAATGTTGTGCTCGGTTGTTATTGAAATGCCAGTTTAGTAATACGAGTCCGCCATTTTGTCATGTTAGAATTGTATTTTGTAGGTGATACAGATAAATGAATTTTGAATATAGATTAATTTGCTACTGTTATTTTATTATAAAATTCTGAGTAAAAACAAGTGACATAATGTTAAAAAATTACCTTTAATTATGTAAATTGATCTCAAGGGAAACTTATTGAACATCATATTTTAAAATTATTACCGACTTCTATTTTTATTTTTATATTTTTAAATTGAAAAGCGTAACTATCTCAGACACAATTTAATATGTACTGCATTGCAGATAAAGTTGGTGACATGCGTTGAAATATTTCTCGTCCAAATCTAGTATGTCTTCATGGCTTTATACTCACCTATTCACTACCTACTAGTTCAGCATCATATGACAATTTACCAACAGTCGTTGGTTGTCGAGCTCTGGCCAGTTTTTGAGTAAAAACAAGCGATGCGTTAACCTAATGTTTTGTTCATGAAAAAAGGGGACATAGACAATTTAATTTAAGTAGAACCCTTGTTGACACGTTCGAAATTCTCGTTATAAAATTATGTGTAAATAATAATAGTAATATAATATTTTATATTATAAATTAATATAATATTTTTATTTTGGTAGGTGGGGCCACGCAAAAGTCTTCACTGTTGCACGAATGGGCGGGTCCGTCCGGGGAAGTACCGCGACCTCACAGAAGACCGGCGAGAAGTGTTAAACACTCCTGGGTTTCGTCTGGTGAGTGAGGTAGCCGGGGCCCCCTTTATTAAAAGGTGGTAGCGCGTCAGCAACTCTACGCTTGTTTCAAATGTTCATGTGCGGTGGATATCACTTAACTACAAGTGAACCGCCAGCTTGTTAGCCACTTTCTCACATAAAAAATCCAAAATAGGTAAATATTTGTCCATTAGCGCAACAGGCAACACTGATGCGTGGTCCTATCACAGTCAATTTTTATCGACAACAAAAACACTTTTGAGAAATATTGTTAAGAAATGGTTCTTCTTTTATGTAGGATAATGTTACGCCGTGTTTAAAAGCGTTTCACATATATAAATTTCACATGTACAAACACCCATAAAAGTAACAGCTTATACATGTCCCACTGATGGGCAAAGGCCAGCAGAGGGGGGCATACAGAGGGTATCAGGGCATAGTTCACCACGCGGCCCCACTGCGGATTGGCGGACTTCACATATTTTCGATTTTTTTTGTTATAACACGTGATAAGTCAGGACTTAAAGTTAAAAACTTCATTGGTGCCGGCACCGGGGATCGAACTCAGGTTGCTCGAGTATATTGAATTAAAGGCGAGCGCCCGGACACTGAGCTATCACGGCTCCTATCCAAACACCCATATCTGGGTCCCAAAATGCTGCAATAAGAGTCGGCCCGAGGCACCAAAGTCTATAGCTTCGCAACAACGCCAACCGAGAAATCATAATTAAATGTTATATACAGAATTGACGGCTGTCCCAAGCTGGACGTTATTTATAGAACCTATATAGGAGGAAGTGTCAACAGATTCTTGTGGGTTCGAATCCCACTACTGGAAAAATATTGTGTGATGAACATAATGCTTTTCTAGTGTCTGTGTGTTGATATATCTATAATATGTATTTATTTATAAAAGAAAAAGTCTGTTTAAGTATGTTTATCTGTTTTCTAGTACCCATAGTACAAGTGTTGCTTAGTATGGGACCAGGGAACGTTGTGTAAAAGGTGTCCGTAAATATTTATTTTTTTATAGGTCTGAAGCATAACAATAACAGATACTAAATCGCTCACTGCGCTCAAAAATATATTAAAACTCGGTCAACGCCCCAGTTCTAATACGATTTATTAAACACTGGCAAGCAATAGAAACATAATATGCACCTTCTGGTCTGAGTCGTAATAAAAAATAAATATAACTAAACGTCACTAGTGATATTATACCTTGTCTTAATCCAATAACGCGTTCACAAAAACAAAACCAGAGACGTTAGAACAGGTTTTTGTTTGTGGTATCATCCGTTCGGTTACTATTCTAGGCGATGCATATTAATTTAGCTGGAACGAATCCAGTTCAAAGCAGATCCCTCGTAATGACTATTGAAAATGTTGTAATATTGTCCGGTTATTAGATTACCCTGAATTCCATATGCACAGCGAGAAATTGGTGTTGGCCTATAAGAATACATACAATTTCTCTTTATGCAATACATTATATATTTATGTTATCTTTCATACACTCACAAGCTTGCACTATCAAAGGTCCGGTCTAATAGAGAATAAATACAGGTTACGAATTAAATCATAATAAACGACCAAAGAGAATCAATTCCGATTCTCACAGACTTATTTATAAGAAGTAAAACTCAACGATTTAAGCAGACGATATGAAAAAAAAAATAAAGAAAAATGATTAGAGGCCAAAACCAGTACCAGTTAAAATCCCAACAATTTATCCCTTTCTTTGTAAATTGACTTTTAACGATTATAACGTAACAAATTACGTTTTATTAAAATTTGTAGGAAAATAATAATATCTAATATAAATAATCG